TTCCTCAGAGTGCCTCATTCCTCTACTGTTCCTCTAATTCATATAACACCAGCACCTCTGAATGTAATGAAACAGATCTGAAAACAACCTCATTTAAAAGAATAAATCTATTAAGGAGCTGGGAACTTTCTGGCGTGAAATGAAAAATATTGATTGCTTCCCACCTGTTAGCAATAAAATCCCATCCAGTTAATTAACCTGCTCAGTGATAAAGTTTATTTTTGCCCTTCACCTTCAGCTCCAAATCTTTAAAACCATTAAAACAAGTACCAGGTCAATGAATAAATCTTCTCCCAGAGTGGCATTTAGAGCCTTCTGTAATCTGGCTCCTGCCTACCTTTACTTCTTCTAGCTACTTACCTCCAATCCTCTTCCTGCCCAGCCAAATGGAAGAGTGGAAGTGTTCCCACTACCAAGAACATGCTTCCTTACTCTGAATTCTGCATATTTTAACTCAGATCAAATGTCATTTCTTGGAAAAGGCTTTCCCAGAGCTCTGTCATCTACCCCCACCTCCCTCCCTTCCCACCTCTCCAAATTGCTGCCAAGCTGCAATTATTACCTCCTTCTTCTAAACTAAAATTTCGTGCCTTTATATAACTTATTATTTTATACCTCATATTATGATTATATATTTATAGTACTCAACCTTTGAGGATGCAATTCCAACCAATTTGTTTTGCACTTTTCATGTTCTCCAATACGATTTCTTATCTGTGTCTAGTGTTCAGTAAATATTTTTGTGGATGTTTAAATGGAGACCTCCTGATTTAACAACTTTTTTCTGGTCGTTTTTACTCTTGGAGTTCATGACCCAATATCAACAAAGGGAGAATTTAACTAAGGGAGATGTTTTTATGAATTTCTATTATATTCCAAATAAAACTCTCCAGAGTGGTTTTAGTCTGTTTTGAATGATTTAACTTCAACATGGAATGATTTCCCTAGGTCTGTGAGATATACTAGTGGTATTTTGATGGGGTCATGGGGCATTAAATCTATATAGCAATTTTAGGAGAATGGCCGTTTCACAATATTTGTTCTTCCTATCCATGAACAGGGAATGTCTTTCCATTTTCTGAGATCCTCTTCAATTTATTTTTCAGGGTATTATAATTTTCCCTGAATAGGTCTTTTACTTCTTTTGTTAGATTGATTCATAACTATTTCATTTTTGAAGGATGTTATTGTGCAAGGTGTGTCTTCTCATTTCTCACTCAGTGAGTTTATTGTGCATAGTAATGCTATTGATTTTTGAGTGTTGACTTTGTATCCAGCTACATTACTGAATTTACTGATCTTACCTAGGAGTCTCTCAATGGAATTTTGGGAGTCTACATGTAAAGTATCATGTTGTCTGCAACTAATGATAATTTAACTTCTTTTCCTATCTTTATTCCTTTTGTTTCTTTCTCTTGTCTAATAGCTGTGGCTAGTATTTCCAGCACTTTATTGAATAGGAGTGGTGATAATGGACATCCTTGTCTTGTTCCTGATTTTAGAGTAAAGGCTTTCAGTTTTATTCTTTGTTCAGAGTGGTTTTAGTCTGTTTTGTATTGTTTAATTTCAATATACATGAAGATATCGACAGCTATTTTGAAGAGAACAAGAGACATTATGGCAGCCATTGTTGATTTCCTATTGTCTGGTTTTGAAGACCTGAAATGCCTTCATTACTCTGTTCTGATCAGTTTTATACTACTTTGTTTTGTATTAATTCATTGTGTGTGAAGATATAGACAGTAGAAGAAAACAAGAGACATTATGGCAGCCACTGTAGATCTGTTGTCTTCTTTGAAATCTGTGTCACTTACATTGTTTTGCTTCTGATCTGCTTTGTTCTGTTTTGTTATATTTTTTAAAATTAAAAACTCAATTAAAACAGAACTCTCAAGTCTCTGTTTCTTGAAGACTAACCTACTGCTTTTTCACGTCCTTAGCTGCTTTCTGTTTATGGAAATCTCTTCACTTTCAGTGGAAAGAGACATCACCTATTTCTATGTCTCTGAATATAGGCTTCATATGGCTTTTCTATTTCCTGCTCCAGTTTACTTGGCAATATACTTGGATCTAGCATTTTATCAGCATGAAATGCTAACACTCAATTTGAGGTGATGCAAATATTCAGTCACATATGAAAGCATTCATGTGAATGTGTCTAGAAAGAGAAAAATATGTAGCTCCACTGAAACAAAAGGGTCGTGTATTCATTTAGAGTCATTATTTAGGTCACATACTAAACTTCAGGTACCATGTTCTGTGCTGCTCATACAAATAAAAATATGGGTCCTTTCAAGAGATTTAAGTCATATGAAGAGAGATGAATGTACGATGAGGTAATTTCTATAGAAAGCGATTTGCACAATACCAGAGGCAGACACAAGGTGATACAGAGTACAGAGAATTTTAAACAAAGTTTTCTTTGCAGCATAGTGTTCCAGCAGATATCAATAATTTACATATTATTTTGGAGTTTTTAAAACAACATTTTCAGACTACTCAGTTTGAGCAGGGTTTCAGCATCCACAGGAGGTGCTGGGGCATGATTCAGACCCAAGCCATGCTGGGCTAATCAAGATCCAGACACAGAACCTTGCTCCTTAGAGCTTATCGGAATGACTCATTCATGAGATGTCAGCAAAGGGGTTGTTTTCTTATGATTCACTGGGCTGAACTTCATCCCAATGATATTTCAGTCCAGAGATTTTTCACGCTATTCTGTCTATGGCTCCAGTGTTTCTAAAGACATTGGCACAGCTGTGTAGATGACTCATTGGAATGCCTGCTTGAAGTCTATGACCTTAGAGATGTCAGTTTCTGTGTATGTGTGTGTGTGTGTGTGAGAGAGAGAGAGAGAGAGAGAGAGAGAGAGAGAGAGAGAGATATTTATGAGAAAAAGCAAGAAAGTAATCCTAAGTTTTAAATGACCAAGGTCCACAGCTGCAAATTCTAAATGCATATGCAGATCACTTTAAATTTCCTTCTTTTTCTAGCCCTTCACATTTAAGGATATTTTTCTGCTTACTATAAACTCCTTGAGAAGGATAAGGTACGGTGACATGAATCAGAAGCAGAAAAAAGAGAGGAAATTAAAATCTATTTCAAATTACTCCTTGACAGTCGCTCAGTGAACAGCTTGGATGAGGGGTACCACTTAACACGAGGCTGTAATATTTCTCTGGATTCTTATGACTCACAACTGAAAGAAGATTAGATGTGGAGTGATGCTGGTGACGGCGGCCAAAGGCCATTTAACAGAGATTTATCCTACTGTCTGCCATTGACTAAGCCACATAAGATCAACACAGAGCAAAACCAGCCATCCAAACAAACAGCAAAACACCCTGCCCTTGGGAGTTTAAATTCTAGAGAGAGAAATGGTCAAAAGCAGCGCTAGCATGCTCCTGTCTGCTTGGAGGTGCAGCGCATTTGTTTTTCATGAGGTCTTAGTGTTGAGCGACTTAGTCTCCATCTCAGCTTCCGAGAAAGCCACAAAACTTTATCTCTTCCGAGCTTGCAGCTTGATGGCTACTTTAAACGTCTGTATGAACATCGAAATGGACTCCGGGGGAGAGGTGGGTGTCTGCTTGTGCGCTGAGTGCACAGTGGGCAGAAACCCTGCCGATAGCACTGTGCACACTGGTGCCTTACAGCCGGGGAAATGCGCGGGTTAGTACCCTATTCCGTCCTCTGCATCCCGGTTGACATTCGGCCTCTTCCTTGTCACTCTTTCCTCCCTCCATCCTCCCCGGTCCCTCCCCGTCCTCTCCTCTCCCCCCCCCCCCCCCGTCCCTCTCCCCCGTCCCTCCCAGTCCTCTCCTCTCTCCCCGGTCCCTCCCCGTCCTCTCCTCTCCCCGCCCCTCCCCGTCCTCTCCCCCGTCCCTCCCAGTCCTCTCCTCCCCCACCCCGTCCCTCTCCCCCGTCCCTCCCCGTCCTCTCCTCTCCCCCCCCCCGCCCCTCCCCGTCCTCTCCTCTCCCCCTCCCCCCCCGTCCCTTCCCGTCCTCTCCTCTCTCCCCGTCCCTCCCCGCTCTCCCTCTCTCCCCCGTCCCTCCCCGTCCTCTCCTCTCCCCCCCGCCCCGTCCCTCCCCGTCCTCTCCTCTCCCCCTCCCCCGTCCCTCCCCGTCCTCTCCTCTCTCCCCCGTCCCTCCCCGTCCTCTCCTCTCCCCCCCCCTCCCTCCCCGTCCTCTCCTCTCCCCCCCCCCCCCCCGTCCCTTCCCGTCCTCTCCTCTCTCCCCGGTCCCTCCCCGTCCTCTCCTCTCCCCCCCCCCCTCCCTCCCCGTCCTCTCCTCTCCCCCTCCCCCCCGTCCCTTCCCGTCCTCTCCTCTCTCCCCGGTCCCTCCCCGTCCTCTCCTCTCCCCCCCCTCCCTCCCCGTCCTCTCCTCTCCCCCCCCCCCCCCCCGTCCCTTCCCGTCCTCTCCTCTCTCCCCGGTCCCTCCCCGTCCTCTCCTCTCCCCCCCCCCCGTCCCTCCCCGTCCTCTCCTCTCCCCCTCCCCCCCGTCCCTTCCCGTCCTCTCCTCTCTCCCCGGTCCCTCCCCGTCCTCTCCTCTCCCCCCCCCCCGTCCCTCCCCGTCCTCTCCTCTCCCCCTCCCCCCCCCCCGTCCCTTCCCGTCCTCTCCTCTCTCCCCGGTCCCTCCCCGTCCTCTCCTCTCCCCCCCCCCCCCGTCCCTCCCCGTCCTCTCCTCCCCCCCCCCCGTCCCTTCCCGTCCTCTCCTCTCTCCCTGTCCCTCCCCGCTCTCCCTCTCTCCCCCGTCCCTCCCCGTCCTCTCCTCTCCCCCCCCCCCGTCCCTCCCCGTCCTCTCCTCTCCCCCCCCCCCCCCCCCCCGCCCCGTCCCTCCCCGTCCTCTCCTCTCCCCCTCCCCCGTCCCTCCCCGTCCTCTCCTCTCTCCCCCGTCCCTCCCCGTCCTCTCCTCTCTCCCCGGCTCCCTCTCCTTCCCGCCTCCCCCCAGTCTCTCCCTCCTCCATCCCTCCGGCGTCTGCGTCAGGCCCCCCCAGCGTGACGCGGGGTCCGGGTGGGAGCTGTCCACTCGCCCTGGTGCTGAACGCTGCAGCAGCGGCGGCGGCCGCGGAGGTGGAGATAACTGGGAACCTTCTCCGCCCCGAGAACCCTGTTTCCAGTCCTCGGACGGTCGGTTTGCACCCCGACACCCCCTTTCCAGCACCACCCCTTTGGGAACTGAGCCAGGGGGCGGCAGCCGCGGCGGCGGCGGTGCCGAGCAACGGCGGAGGACAACACCTGGCAGCAGCCGGGAATTACATTTGTATACGGTTGGGGGAATCTCGGAGACCGAGCTGGACCCAGAAACCGGCTGCCTCGCACCTGGGCCACGCGGCTCCGCTCCCCGGTGCTCACCTCGTTGCAGCGGCGCGGAGAGGGAGCGGCCAGCCCAGCCGGCGGCGGGGACCGGAGCAGGGCCGGGGGCGGCGGGGGCGGAGAGCCGGGAGGCCGCCCTTGGCGAGGGCCCGGCAGCCGCCCTCCTCCGCCCCTCCCACCGGAGGCACTCCTTCTGGATTATTTGAGAAGCGAATTATTGCAGTAGCGTGTTTCGTCTTTATCCCCCTCGCTCGCACCGCCCCACCTCCGCGCCCGCCTCGCCTCTGGTTGCATGGCAGCACTGCCCGGGCGCGGGGGCTCCGGGCCGGCCCCCCGGGAAGGAAGAGGAGGAGAGGAAGGATCATGAAGCCAGCAGTCGCGACCGCCCCGGACGGCGGGCAGCAGCAGCTGGAGGACGAGCCGGAGCAGCCCCCGCCCCGGAGACACGCGGACGCCGACCGGCAGTCGCCTCTGCCGCCGCGCAAGCACCGGCGGGCGCGGGCAGACCCGGAGCAGGTGCGGCAGGCACCGCAGGAGCGCGCGCAGCAGGGCGAGCGCGGCCCGGAGGAGAAAGAAGAGGAGAGGGCGAGGCCACTCGCCGGCCCGGACCTGCGCTTTCCCTCACTCCTGCACCTCGCCCAAAGGAACCTTTGATGGAAGCGCGGGGAGGGGGCCACGGATTCACAGACTGCAGCGGGAGAGGGCTGGGGGCTGCGAGGATGTAACTGCCCTTTCCCCGGCCTCCCCGCACGCCCCTCCGCTCTGCCCTTCCTCTGCCCCAGCACCTGTCCTCCCCGTACACACCCTTCCCCTCGCCGAGACCTGAGTGCTCAGAAAGGACGCGGCTCTGCGAGGCACACACTGTCTTTTTCTCTCTTCCTTTCTCCCTCCCCACCCCACGCTTCTGCCACCTCTGCGTGCCACATTGGCTTTACCCGCTCCTGGGTAGCCCTTGGCTGCACAGGCGAAGCACAAGCCCCTTCCCCAGGTTCACCCCACTGTTCTCTTAAAAGCAACTGTGGTGCTTCTAGGGGTTAACTGCCCCAGTTTTCTGCCCAGGAGAATTAAAACTTCTCCCTGCTTCCTCTCCTCCCCATCTCGCCTCCGCCCCATCAGTCTCCTACTACCTGAAAAAGAAAAAAACAAAACTATCTTTTCTTTTTCTTTCTCATACATGCTCTCCTCAATGCATCGAGCTAGTTTTCTCCAAACCCAGCTCAGCCCACTCCAAATTTGATTTATAATCTTCCTCTCACCCTTTTATATAAAAGGTAGCGATTCACCACCATCTAGGGATTTGAGAAGAACCCAGCAGCCTTTTCCTGCTGAACTTTTAAGAATTAGACATTGATCCGAAGGCTCTAATCGTTCAGCCTCAAGGTTTCTTTTATCGCCCTGCTTCCCACAGTGCCCTGGGGCCAAAGGCAGAAAGGCAGCACCGGAGGTTGGGAGGGTTGCAGGAGCAAGAAAAACTTGTTTTGCTTTTTCCAGGTAGAGTTCAGAACCGGTGACTCCCAGTTCTCAGTTCTTGGAGCAATTTATTTGCTGCTCAGAGGGGGTGGAGGAAGAGCCAGTGGGAAAGGAGATTCCTCCCATAACACAGAAACAGTGCAGACCCCAAGCCCCAGCCACCCACTTCTTCCAAAACTCCAGCTGCCCCTCTCGGGTTCTCTGCTCCCTCTGGGCACATGCTGATGCCCTTGGGCGGGCTGCTGTGGTGGTGGTGCTGCTGCTGCTGCTGTGGCTGGTACTGCTGTGGACTGTGCACCCCAGCCCCCCAAATGTTGCGCCACCAGGGTCTCCTCAAGTGCCGCTGCCGCATGCTCTTCAATGACCTGAAGATTTTCCTTCTGCGGCGCCCCCCTCCAGCGCCCCAGCCCATGCACGGCGACCCCCAGCCCCCCATTTTGGCAGCCAACAACAACACCCTTCCGGCTCTGGGTGCCGGCGGGTGGGCAGGCTGGAGGGGCCCTCTAGAAGTGGTGGGTAGGGAGACCCCTCCTCTGCCACCTCCACCGCCTTTGCCACCTTCTTCTGTGGAAGATGACTGGGGTGGCCCAGCCACAGAACCACCTGCCTCACTGCTCAGCAGTGCCTCTTCAGATGACTTCTGTAAGGAGAAGGCTGAGGATTGCTACTCACTGGGCAGCAGCCTGGACAGTGGTATGAGGACTCCGCTCTGCCGCATCTGCTTCCAGGGACCAGAACAGGTGAGTCTTTTCTGCTCTTTTTCTGCCCTATGATATCTCCAGGTCTTGTGCATAGCAACTTGTCTGCACTGGGGAGCCATTATGTTGTTGCTACTGTCAGGACTGTTTCTGTCTATCTGTGTCTGTCTGTCTGTCTGTCTCTCTCTCTCTCTCACTCTCTCTCTGTCTCTCTCTGTCTCTGTCTCTGTCTCTCTCTCTCTCTCTCTCTCTCTCACTCTCTCTCTGTCTCTGTCTCTGTCTCTCTGTCTCGGTCTCTGTCTTCGTCCCTCTCTCTCTGTCTCTTCAGCACCGATCTGGTTTTTTTAGTACTGGGGATTGACCCCAGGACTTCACATCAACCATATCTCATATCCCCAAGCTCTTTTTGTTGTTGTTTTTATTTTTGTTGGTTTGCTTTTGCAATCTCAGGAAATCATTAATTTGCTAAGGATGGGTTTAAACTTGTGATACTCTTGCCTCTGCCTCTCACGGTACTGGGATGGCAGGCATGCACCACTGCTCAAAGTTAGAACTGTAAGTTTTGAGAGCTCCTCAAGGCCTTTGCTTATAAAGTTTGCCCAGTAGGTGTCTGGCTCCTGATGAAGCCTGCTTGGTGGCTCAGTTGTATTCTAGCTTTTGCATTTTCCTCCCAGTGTTAATGTCTTCCATTCCATCCAAAAAATATTCTATAAGCATCCTCAGAGTAAATGACCGAGAAGCAATGAAATGAAGAGATTTAGTGATATAGTCATGCTTGTGTTTAAGACATCCTTTTAGCTGATCTCTTGTTGGTAAAATTTCCCCAGCCCATCGTCAGCCCCATATTCCCACTTTTTCCCTATCTAAAAGTGCCGAGATCCTGTCCTCTTTCCCTGCTCTTAAAGGCTGAAATCCAATTAACCTGTTTTTCCCTCTGAAACCACTCCAGGTTGCGAAGACACTTCCTAACGGCCTCTAGTTTTCCCACATTAAAAGCAGGTCACTAAGTCTGGGTAAGAGTGGGTTTAAGGGACATAGAGAAGCAACTAGGGGGAGGCGGTGAAATTTCCCACGCTACTTTCCATGTCAGGCCTAAAGTAGATCAGAGTGCCCCTTAAACTTCATTCGCCCAGGATGGGAAATGCCAAGTCTGGTGGCTTCTCCCTACCCTTATCCATTCAGATATTTCACTTACTCCACTTACAACTTGGTGTCTGCAGTGCTGGATAGCTGTGTACATCTTTTAAGACTCAGGACTTTCCTTCCCGTACAAAAAAGGCTCACTTGCAAATTTTATTTTGTTGGTGATGCAGGAAAAGGAATATTGATTCCAACATGGGCAGGGCTATGCACTCAAATTACCCACTTCTTCCGTGGTAGTTTCCTTAAGTGCAGGGAATACTTCTGAGTGCACCTTGAACAAATGACTGTGTGTTAAGATACCGTACTGACGCTCCCTGACTGGCCCAGGTTCTGGCAAACTGCTTGCTTGTGAGATGCAGACTTAGCTGACATTTCACTCAATTTTTCTTTTTGCTGTAAAGACGAAGTACCCCAGGTTCTGGTGACACCTGAGGCAGCATCCTGGGTATTATGAGGTGCAAGGAGATTGATCTCAGTGTGAATAAATATGTCTGAGGGATTAAGGAATGGGTCCCTCATTCTTGTGACTAGGATTACCTGAAATACCAAATGAAACATTGCCCAGAGTTGACAACTCCTGACAGATGAATGAGTCCAGGTTGCGTGCTAAGTGCTTGCCTTTTCTCTCCTCCAGCTTAGCTTCTCGAAGACTATAGAGTAGGATGACTTGGCTCCAGCAATAGTGAGCCTTATTTTGGGGCATGCTGGGTCAGGATCTTGCCTCAGTCAGGAGTCTCATCTTCTCCAAAAGGAAGAATAACACCACTTCCTCGCTTCCTAAGCTGTTTCTTTCTTCTTCTACATGAACGGGTTCAGGTATATATGTCACAAGGGCTGTTGGCAGTGTGGCTTCTGGCAAATGCTAGAAAATGGCAGGATTTGGAAAGTGTCCTGGAATGATATTTCACCTGCTATGTGAACTTCTTCAAATAGCTTTATGCTTCTGGGCCTCTTTTCCAATTTTGTGAGACATTATTTGCCGTTCTACTCCTTTTCTTATGGGTGAAGGCCAGAAGATAATGAGGGTAAAAATATCTTGGAAGATATTAATGTATAATGAGCAAATATTTTAATCATAGAGAGACTATTTTATTGAGAAAAGAAAAAAGCAGCATCATTAGCAGTATTATGAAATGCCCTCATGTGATAGATACAGTCTGGTCAAAGGTTAGGAGCTTTCCATTGCGGTTCATTATTTTTACTGTGTGTCATAAGTAAATCACTGAATGAAAGCACTAGCACCAATGAAGGAGTAAGTTCTAATATTGTGTGGGGGGAGGGAAATAAAGGGCTGTGTCTGCAGTAAGACTGGATCAAATCGACCATTTCCTACATATGGTTGCTATGCTTGGGGGTTTGCTTTGTCAGGAGCCAAGAGGTTTTAATGGGCTTGTGTTACAGTCGTAATAAGAGTAATGTGAGTGCCACAAATAGATGCAAAGAGCACGCTTTCTCACTTTCTTCTTGCTTTTCTTCTCAGCATTTCAATAAGAAAGAGAAACAAAACAGAGATGGGCAACCTCTAGAGAAGAAAATGAGAAGGAGATGGAGAAGGGGAAGGAAGAAGAGAGGGAAAGAAAAGGAAAAAGGACAGGCTGAGATTTCCATGGTTGAGTTTTCAGTCAGGGAAAGAGCTGTCTGGTCACTGCCTACACATAGTCCTGAAGGGAGAGCAGAACCACTGTGCAATCACAGTAGCTGAATGTCTTGGTCTTTCCCTGCCCAAACAAAGAATTAGAAACCTCTCACCTATCACTCAAGTTATTTGCAACTGCTCCAGGAGCTAGAAGACTGCCTAAAAGAAAGAGTTGAACTCTTCCTGCAAACTATGTCATCATAAAAGGCAGCAGGAGGACCTTTCCAGCCGGTTCCACCTTTGCACAGATTGGCAAAGGACTTTACACTCATTCATTCCTTCATTCATTCTTCACTGGTTTATTTAACAAACACCTGCTGGGAACAAACGGTGTACCAGATGTTGTTTCAGACACCAAATATCTGGGAATGAACAAAATAGATAAGATTTCTGCTGCCCAGAAGCTGATGGTCCAGTGAAGACACACAAAAGTTAACAAGTAAATTGGTGATAAATAAGGCGATTTGGGGTAATATGGAATGCCATGGGAGGTTGAGTTGAAACCAGAACAAAACAAAACAGAAGAATGAGTTATTTTTTAGTGAAAGGAAATGGGTGGCAAAGGTACAGTCATAACAGATAGAATGATCAGGAAAAGCCTTTCCAGAATTTTCCCTCTGGCCTAATACTTAAGTAATCAGAAAGACCCAGACATGCATAGATCTGATAGAGCATTCCAGGAGGATGAAACACCAAGCTCAAAAGCCTGACTGTAAACACACTTTGCATAGCTGAAAAACAGCAGAGAAGACAGGAGAGAGAGGGATGAGCTATGAACAAAGGCTTAGAGAACCCACTTGGCCCCTGACTGGCAGGTTATTCCTTCTCACAGTCACTGGTTTATTTAGGACCAGGGTAGAGGACCCACAAGAGTGGAGGGTGAGAGGCCACCGACATGCCTTCACTCTCCACTTGTGACTGAAGCTGCGCTGGTCTGTGTTGAGGGACAGTTTCCCATGGTGGGCAAGCTGACGTCTCCAGGACTAGACGGCTAGCCCCAGCTGGAGAGCTAGACAAGTCACACGGCCAATCTGTGCCTCACCTTGTGTGTTTGTTTGTTTTCTGTTTTTTGAGAGAGAGTCTTACTCTTTAGTTGAAGCTAGCCTTGAACTTGCTGTGTAGCCCATGCTGGCCTCAAATGTGTGGCGATTTTTCTGCCTCAATCTCCTGGATGCTGGGACTATAATCATGCACTTGGGCTCTCTATGCTTTAGATTTCTCATTTGTAAAATCATGATAGTCCCTATTTCAGAAGATGATTTTGAGCATTAAATCAGTCAATACTACAAGGGCAGTGCTTTCACAATGCTTGTTATTGTTATTATTCTCTCAGATGCAAGAGTGCTCCCCTTGCGTTATTGAAAAAGTGCCCCAGCTCACAGGCTGGCGGGAGGGCTGGCTGTAGACCGAATGGCTTCCTTCGTGTTCACAATGCCCTGGGCATGGAGTGCTGTTCATCTGTTTCAACTACCCAAGTCTTTATTAAGTGCCTACCTATCCCTGCTGCTCTGCTGAGCACGCTGGAGACACACAGTAGATGTGGCCCTGCATTCTAGAATGTCTTCGTCTAACCCAGACATCACAGGGGCCGACAGAGATCAAGAACATGTAAATGTCGAGCCAGAGTGAATTACAGTATACTGGTACGGGAAAGAGGCATGTTTAAAAGCAGCTAGTGGCTGGGGTACCTATTCACAGAGACAAGGGTAGAATTTGTGCTTTTTCCCCAATCAGGGGAGGCTTCTTTGTTGTTGCAGAAGACCAAGTGAGAAGAAATAGATTTAGGCTGCAAGGCTGAGGTGAGATAGAAAGAAGCAGAAGAGATGTGAGACACTTGGGTGCCTTCACAAGGAGGTGAAAGCATCTCCCGGGCTGGGCAGCTGTGGACTGCCTGAGGTGGGTTGACGATGCCACCTGCTAAGACAGTCAGGAGCGAGTGGGAGGGCCCTAAGGAAAGCAGGAAATGAGTCTGCAGCAGGGTGCGGTGGCGCATGCATGTAATGCCAGTACTCTGGGAGGCTGAGACGGACTGAAAATTGGAATCAACTTAGTGACTTAGGAAGATCCTGCCTCCAAAAACAGCGGGGAGGAGGGACAGATGAGAGATACAGCTCACTGTGAATGCCCTGGGTTCAGTCCTCAGTATTTCTAGAAAAAAAAAAACATGGCATGTTTTAGTGTGTGTCTTGAGTTACTGGGGAGTAGGCTAAGGGCTTTGCAGAACTCAGGGGAACCTGGAGACCCCAAGATGTAGTAAGAACCC